TAAAAGCAAAAAATGTTTAAAAAAAAAAAAAAAAATATATATATATATATATATATATATATTGCTGTTACATTTTTATAAACATTTTTTGCTTAAATTTTTTATAAAAAATTTTTGCTCTTATAATTTTCCAAAACACTATATTACTATATTATTTATTTATATAAAATACATTAATGAAAGGCATCACAAAAAAATACTACCATGGTATATAAATTTACATTTTAAAAACAATTAAAGGGATAGTTCACCCAGAAATGAAAATTTTGTCATTATTTATGTTGTTCCAAACTTGCTTGAGTTTCTTATGTTGAACACAAAAGAAGATGTTTTTAAAAATGTTTCATAGTAAGAAAAAAAAAACACTGGAAGTTAATGGCTTCCAGCAACTGTTTGGTTACCAACATTCTTAAAAACATCTTCTTTTGTGTTCAACAGAAGAAAGAAACTCATACATGTTTAGAAAAACTTGAGGGTGAGTATGACAAAATTTTAATTTTGGGGTGAACTATCCCTTTAATTTTATAGTCCATAATCTCTATTTACACTTTTTATTTACATGCATCATTATTTGCACTTAGAGAAAACAAGATGCTATTGGTTTCTATTTACATTTAGTGCAAAGAAACAGTATCTACCACTATTTACACTAAGTGTAAACAGCATCTACTTTCCCTTACACTAACTGTAAATAGAATCTACCTTCCTTCTCTCTTTGTGTAAATAGCTACTGCTTTATGTTTTATACCTGGACATGTTCTTGACATGTTCTGTGAAATTCACCCACTTAGTAATGAAATATCAGAAAAGATACAGCTACATGCCATCTACACAGAGCTAGACCTAAACAGTGTGTCCAACATGTAGCCAGACCTCGCATTTATTTAAATAATGTGAAAGCGTGTCAGTGTAACTCTAAATGAATCCCTAGTACTAGCAGACACCAGTCACAGCATACCTCAGTGAGAAAACCAGCTGGGAAATTTGGAATTTGAACATCAAATGAGAAAAAAAAAAATCATAAAAACATAAAACACATTATGTTTTCACAAATAAAAATTCTGTTGTTTCACATGCTGGTAAAGCATCTACAGCATCTGTATAAAAATCTAAAGTACAGAAATCTAAAGTAATCTGACGTAATCCAGTGAATGGCGCCCAGCCAGTGGCACAATGGAGACAAGAAGATGCTGTCAAACCACATATAAATGGATTTAAACCATTAAAGCTTTTCTTTACTCAGTAATGGATGACAAATACCCAAAATAAAAGCCACCTCACAGTAATTGCAGCCATTTGTCAAAGTAACCTCAATCCACAAGTATATGTAGTTGTTAATTACAGACCTAAGAAAGTAATTAGTGGAATTTGAGAATGCGAATTTAAAATTCTGGATATCGCTGAAAGGGAAAACTACAACACGAGACTCCCTCGATGAGAAGAAACAAAACCACATATGAGATCGAAACGCTCACTTGTGATTTAACTTGATGAAAGATCAAACCCATAAAGCCAGTCTTGTAATTTCATGCGAGGTCTTTTGAGTTCCTTCTCGCTTTCATTTTACATTATTTTGCTGTTTCCAGTTTTAAACCCATGCCAGTTTCACAGTAATGTTCTAAAGATGAGTCCCTCACCGGGTTGTCAGTCTGGTTGATTCCGATGAGAAAGACCAGCTCGGAGAAGAACAAGGCAGCCACCAGGTTCTTGTGGATGCTGTGGAGATTGGAGCGTAGTTTGTGCAGGATGGCCAGCAGGATGAAGGTGATGAGGAGCGCCAGAAGAGAGGCGGAGACTGTGGTGTAGGTGACAATCTTCAGGGGAAGAACATCACCGTGCTGACAGAATGAGAGAAAGTCAGAAAAAGTCAATAAAAACAGAAAAATGATTTACAATGAATGAACGATGATGATAGTTCACCCAAAGCCTTGTCATTCCAAACCCATTAAACTACACAATCAACATTTTTAAGCTTCAAAAAGTTCATAAAGAGATCAAAAAAGTATTCCATATGAATCAAGCCGTTTAATCAAAGTCTTGCATTAGAGATGATCATTCATCATGCTTTTATTCACATATAAGCATTGATCATCAAACATAAATAGTAGGGATGCACCGATACCGATACTGGTATCGGTATCGGGCCCGATACTGAGCTCCTGTACTCGTTAAAATGCCCCGATACCAAACGCCGATACCACACAGCATGTGATAAGTGCCATATTCAGACAAAGAAACACAGACAACAGACAGCAGAATGGAGTTATTAGAGATTAAAGATGTCTACGAAGTATATGTATGCAATGAATATAAAACATTCAGTATTAATGCCTGTATAGCTGATTTGCGCCAGCTGGTAAGCAAATCACGCTGAGTGGATTGAGCGCGCGGCGGCGCAGATGTGCGAGCTTGTCAAGTGAATATCCCTTTGTCACAGACATCACTGGAAAGTTTGTAGTTTGGTCGGATATGTCAAAAAGAAGTAAGTACAACAATGCACAAGTTACTTAATGGTAGGGAGAGAGAGAGAGCGCGCACCATTTGGATTAAAACTAAATCGTAAATATAAGACAATGTATAAGGGCATTCACTATGAACGTCATTTATTTTCACCCTTAAGCATACACAACTTTCTGGCGAAAGTGAAACTAACAGCC